TCCATACCACATAATCCAGAAACACATCTCAACAATGTGATAAAGAATGGATGTAAAGAACATTTGCTCTTCTACCTCAAAGTCACACAGAAAGGTCAAGATCCACCACAATACCGCTATGAAATTATCTTCAATGTGTCAGCAGCACACATAAACTCCACATCTACACTAGATGATTTGACCCATTTGAAATGGGTAATATCAACATTACAACAGGAGATAACTCACAGAACAGCAAAGGCAAGGAAAAAATTGCAGCGAGTGAAGTTTCCACAAACATGGAGAAGACAAATGCAAAGAGAAGTTTATTCCAAGTAGCAGATAACGCAATTGAACCAAAAGTAAAGAAAAAAAAGGACAGCCAAAGACTACAAAGAAACCGAAAGTCGTGGCTAAGAATCAATGACACAGATATCCATGTTTTTTGTTATATTATTTTGTTATAGTAAAGTATCTATGTGTAATGACTTAAAGTTGTGCAATGGCTTAAGTTGACTTAAGTTGAATCTCAAGTGAAATACTCATCCAAAAACCAGTTAGTTTTTTGGGATATAAACGTTTTTTGAGATGTAGTTTTTTGGGATATAAATGTTTTTGAGATGTAGTAAACGTTTTTGATTGATATAAATATTCACTTGATGTAAATCTTTATAATAATATAAATATAAAGTGTTTATTTTATATCATGGATAATTTTGCCTCTTTACTTTTTATTTTATTTTTGGATTGCATCTTAAATAAAGAACATAGAAGTCGATATTGTACATTTTCTTCTACTTCACAAAAAATAACCCATTTAACACACTAATACTACCATCGAAATCACTTGACCCATGCACTGCACGGGCTGGAACTAGTATATATAAAAGTCATTTAATCCTTATCTACAATTTTTACCACAAATGACACTTTCCAAAACCGTGTCCTTACTAATAAAATATAGGAAAATTTGCAACAACGGTCCTTAACCTTTTTAATTTTTGTAAATTTTATCCTAACCTTTAATTTATGCCAGTGAGAATCCCTAATCTTCCATAAATATGCATCTGAAGTCCAATTGAATGGAAAATAATCCATTTGACCATTAGTTAACCAAAAAAGACAAAATCTGATCAGTTTTGATCAAATTAAAATGTGCAAAATGGCAACTTTGCATATTTTCCCTAAAATAAGTTAAAAATTAAATAAAAATAAAAATCCTCATCTGCCACCATCACCTACCCCAAAACAAGAAAAAACACCTACCACCACCGACTACCCAATTTGCCAGAATTTCACCCCTTAGCCGATGATCGCATTCCACAAACAAATCTCACAACATCATGTGTAGATCAAAATCAACCTTTAAAGTCATGGGAGTCGCGTGGGCCAACAGCAAAATTCGGCAACCCCAATGACACCCATGGTCGTGCACCGCTGCCAGCCGACTCACCTTACCTAGGTGCTACAATTCATGTCAAGACATCATCTAAAATAGCTCCGATAGATACAAGTCTGCCTCAAGAGCAAACAAGGCAGTTGTCTCCTTTAATTGACAGGTTCTGAATGGTTTTTTCACAAAATTGGTAACACACGAATCGTTAGCAACATCATAAGACCACCGGTGTGTCCTCAATTGCTCAAATTGATGCCCCTAATCGACCCAAATTGGGAATGTAATTCTTCACTAAATCGCACGTGAACTAAGGAAATTCCGCCTCTTCCAATTGGTGAATTTGTAGCTCTGTTTCCACCAAATTGGCCACATACAATCACTCAACAACACCGAACGGTGATGGGTATACCATCAGTTGATCCAATTATGTCACGAATTGCTCCAATTTTGGCTTCAAATTCTACCTAGTTCTATATGCAGATGAGGTTCTAGTTTATTCAGTTTCTGTTGGGTTTGAATTGATTTCTAGTTTTTATGTTGGATGAGTGGTTTAATTTTTGTTTTGATTTGTTCATTTTTTGCTTGATGGCTTGATTGGTTGTGAAATGTGAAATTTTGATCACACGAATGATGGAATTGTAGATTGTTGGGTAGTGGCAACCTGGGGAAATTCTTTTTGTTCATCGATATTTAGGTGGGGCGGCTACCTTTGGGAGGCAATGCTGAAGTTGTGCGTGGCGGAGGCGATCGGCCTTGAGGCCCAACTGGTATGGGTGGGAGGTGGGAAAGAAGGAGGTGCTGACCATCGACCTTTCTGTTTTTCATGAGGGGAGGGTGGGGTGTGGGGTAGATTTCTTTTATTTTTTTGGTTGTATTTAATTATTTTATGTAAAATTACCATTTTGTTCTTTTAAAATTAGTCAAAATTGTGGTCAAGATCAATTATTTGTTCAACTAACGGTAAAATAGATAATTTTTATCTATTTGGATTTCAGGTGCATATTTCTGAAAGGTTAAAAATCTTTGTTGGTATAAATTAAAAGTTAGGGTAAAGTCTACAAAAATTGAAGAGGTTAGGGAAGGCAGCTGCAATTTTTCCCTAAAATACGAATGGCAGAGGGTGTACACATTTAACCCATGTTTGGTAGGTATTAAAATTCAAATTAATTTAAATTAAAGTCAACAATAAATTTTAAACACGTAATTAATGGGACCCACAACTTTTTAACAACATATTTATATTTCATTAACTTTTATTAAAATTTACTATAAAATTGATTTTAATTCCTACAAAACAAGGGCTTAGTTTTTATAGTTGCAGAGAAATTTTAAGTTTGTACTTAATGTTTATCTTGTTCTAAATGAGTTACTAGACCTTCCTAATATTTCTAATATGTCACTGTCAACATGATTAGTGTGACATTAATTCCATTGGAAGGTAAACCTTAGTCATGTTAAAGAATAATGTTATTTAGCCGCATTGAAATTATAATCCCATTTTATGTGGTGTTAGATAATAGCTAAATGAAATATGAAATTAAATAACTCATTTAATTGTACTTATCACTTAATGTCACATTAATGTTACATAAATTGGGGTTATAATTCGAGTGATGCTAAATAACATTACACCATTGTAAAAAGAAGAGGATAAAAAACCCTGAACCCATTTTTGTTCTAACTAAAGATGACAAGGGGTAAGGTGGAGATTAAAATTTTCCAATTCTTCGTTCAATTTCCTCATTTATTTATTTATTTTAATATATTATTTATTTTATATTTAAATACACTTTAGATATAAAAAATAAGAGTCGAGGTGAAACCATGTTTATTTGCTCGCATCAAGATTCCCAACTAACCATGGAATTCCTTCCCTAAATAGTGTAGGGCGAAGCTTGTCGAGATATTTTGTCATTTGTACTTTCAATTGATATCACGCTTATTGAAATTTAATTTTAGAGTGATTTTACTTGAATAATGTTATTTGCAGTCGCTCTATTACCACATTAATGCATCAAATACACACTTGACATGTGTGTGCCACATGGACGACTGCTGCAGTGAGCGACTATGAATAACATTACTCATTTTACTTAGACTCATTATGGGATTATAACCCAATTCATGTGCAGTTAATATGATATGAAATTATAAGTACAATTAAATGAGTCATTTAACTTCACTTTTTATTTAACATCTCACATAAGGCTGTTAATTGATTAGGAGTCTGTTTGGGTCGGATTAAAATCTGATTTTAAACTAAGTTTTTAATCCAAGTCAAACAATCAATATTAACCACATGTTTCATGGGTCCCACATCTTTTCAATCATATATTTCAAAAACTTCTATCATAATCCACGAAAAATCTAATTTTAATCTCCACCAAACACCCTCTGGATTTTGATTTGAATTTTATGAAATTAATGGGAGATGGATTTAGGGTCTCAATCCAATAACATGATCATGATTCGAGTTCAATAATCTGTTACCTAAATGAAGCAAATATGAATATAGATCAACCCGATCTAATTACAACATGATCTGATTTGTTATAATAATATAATATATTTTATATATTATTGCATAATCTATTACACATAATTTTTTTTATTTTGAAACTTGATTTATACTTTACACATAATTTCCAAATAATAAATAATATTAGATAATAATATAATATTCTTAATTGAAATATTTGGAGTTTTTAATTTTTATTAATTAAAATAAGATAAAAAATAATTAATTTATTTTATAAATTAAACAACTAAAGAGGTCAACAATTGGAATTGCTTTCATCGTTCTCAATTTCCCATTATGCACATCGGATACTCATTAGAATATCACATGATTTGCAATCTCTGAATAGGTGGACAAAAAATTGGGTAAAAAGCTATCTGAGCCATTTAATTCTAGGATTTAGAATTTGACTAATATAAAACTTTTATTTTTCCAATTTCTTTAATTTCGGATCGGATTCTCGGATCGAAAATTCGAAAACGTAGCAAATCAAATATTCGTTGGATTATCGAATCGAATATGGACAGATCTGATCCATTTACAGTCCTAATATCACCTAACACAACTTAAACTGATGTTATAACCATACTGCAGCTAAATAACGTTATTCTTAATTTCAATACTTTGGAAATAATTGCGAGGAAAGTGGAATTAATGTCTCGTTAGTACAAACGGGCTTTAACAGCGCATGCGTAGGATGTCACGAAAATTTAACTTACGAAGTGATCAAATTGAAATATTTATGAAATTTTAGTGACTGGTTTGGTACAAAATAAACCTAAAGGACTGATTTAGAATCTCCCTGCAACTTTAAGATCCAAACGTGAATTCAACTGGGCAAATGAAGAAAATGAAAAATATAAAAAAAAAAGATACCAAATCCTTCAAGAAAAAACAAGTCTGTGAAGTGAGAAAAATTAAAAATTAAGAAAATAGACAGAAAATGGTTCACAGTTTTTCAACTACTCCAAACTGACTCAATTTGTTTAGAAATTGAGAAATCATTAGTAAATTCGAGCCTTGTGGTTAGAAATTTTGGTATAAATTACTTTTGTTGAATTAAATTTGCGGAAATTATTGGGGGTTTTGGAGTTTGGTGATTAAATTATGGGGTTGGGTGAGACGGATCTTAAGGACGATTGTGACGACGGAGGCGAAGGGTGCAAGGCAGCGCCACCAACGGCGGTATCGTGCTCAATATGCTTAGAGGCGGTGACAGATAATGTGGGTAGATCTTGGGCCAAGCTTCAATGTGGCCATCAATTTCACCTTGGTGAGTCTTAAATTTTCAGGTCCTTTTGAAATTATCAAGATCCGACCAAGTGTTTTATGTGGTACAGTAGCAACATTTAATTTTTTTGTGAACTGAACGTAGATGAAGGTCATAATTAATTTCGGAAGCCTGGGCATATGCCTTTTCTTTTAATTTTGGATCTGTATCTCTGCTTAATTTTGTTATTGAATAGTAGAGTATAAGATGATGGAATCATAGGCCGAATTTGATATTTTGGAAGGTTTCGAGCTTGCAACCTAGGCTTGAGTTTCGTTTGAACTAAATAAACAGTGAGCTGCCTTTTTCCACTTTCACCTCTTATGGTAGAACTAAAAGCAATTTCTGTCATGTTAATGGTTACACAAATTTGGTCATGGAAGATAATGCTTGCTAATTTTTTGTTTAGTGTTCGTTTCCCCAAGTATATCTGGCATTTTTGTTTTTTGGGTTATTAGCTTTAAAAAGAGTTCATGCATTTAGTCGGTCTGTGTGGACA